CCGGGCCCGCACACACCGGGCTGCCCCACGGAGCCTCTCCGGGACGCGCCGGGGCTGCGGGCGCCCTGCAGGGGGGACGCTTGGCCGTGTTTCTTCAGGTGTTCCTCAAAGAGCGGCTGAGCAGGTGCTGTCCCGGAGCCTGCAGTGACACCACTGCAGCCCTGGACAGGGCCCTGCAGCCTGGAGGGCTTTGGTCCAGCAGTGCACAAACAGCCCAGGCTGTGGACGGGCTGCTCCACATGGTCAAGGACTGATTTCTTTATTAATTATAAAAGAAAATAAAACACTGGGCAGTTAGAAATAATTGGAGGTCAGGTACCCATCCTGTTTAGGTGTTTCCATCTGCTTAGAAGTGTGGGAAAATACCCGAACTGTGCTGGTGTGGGTGGTGAGCGGGGCTGGTGCTCTCGGGGGCAGTGGGAGGGGGCTGTGGCTGTCCCTGCTGTGCCCCTCAGAAGTGCCTGGGCTTCAGCTGCCTGCTGGCCCTGGCGTTCAGCTTGCATGGTGTCACCTTCACCCCTCTGGGGTGGCACATGGGATCTCTGGCAGCTGCTCATCCTCCCCACCTGTGGGTGTGAGCACATCCACAGACCCAAAAGCTGGTCCTGGTGACAGTGAAACTCCTGGGGACAGCAGGTGACGCCCAGCCTGAGTGTCTCTGCCTTGTCGTCTGTGTCTGAACATAAAGCTCAAGGCAGCTTGCTGCTTTATCGCCCTTCTCCTTCTGATCTCCGTTTCCACAGACTCTATTTGCTCTTTTGAAATGTGTAACATGAACAGCCTCTTACTGCACAGAAGGACATTTCATCTGGTTTTGAGGTGTTGATAAATACCGTGGCCCACTCCAAACCTCACCCTGCTGCACAATAACCCAGGAGCAGAACTTTGTGGCCCCTGGTTTGTTCCAGAGGAGGCATTTACTCTTGAGCAGCAGTCAGATTTGGAAGGGAAGAAGTGTGTGATTGTCTTTCTCCACTGGGCCAGCTGCCTGTGCCAAGGGTGTTCCTGAGTGCTCCTGTGTGTATACAAAGCAAGGATTTCCTGCAGTGCCATTAGTCTCCTAAACACCTGCCCTGGGCAATGCCAGAAGACAGGGGAAGATCCAAGGGAGCAGCTCTCAGCCTCGCAAGTCTCTGTAGTGCTCTGGTGTGCCACTTGCAGTTTTAGCATGATCCCAGCTGGTGGTCCTTCTTAAAGACTCAATTTTATCACTGGAGGGAATTAAAAATCTATACCTCAGCTGATGGCAAGGATGGGGAAGTTCTCCGTTATGGGTGAGGAGATTACTGAAAATAATAATTTATAGAATCTCAGGCTGGGTGAGGTTGGAGGCACTTCTGGAGGTCACTTTGCATAGCCCCTGCCCCATCAGGACCACCCAGAGACAGCTGCCCAGGATGCTGTTCTGCACTGCTGCAGGAGCACATTGCTGGCCCATGGGCATCCTGTGTCCAGCAGGACCTTTCCTCCCAGCTGGGCAGCCCCCAGCACACACCAGTGCAGATTTTAGAAATGTTTGAAAATCTGAGAAGCCACAAAGTGAATATCCATTAATATTGTTTGAATTAGACTACTTTAAGCCAGTTTTGTGATGAACAGAAGCAGCTCTTTTGAGCAGATCGTGCTTTATAAAGCACTGTTGGGGCTGTGCAGTGGCTCCATACTGGGAGCTGCTTTTCTCCATGCTCCTCTGTTGCATGCAGCATGTTTCTCCTCTTCCCAAGGAGCAGATCATTCCCTGGCTCTGGTTTGGTGTGAGGGTGAGTGTGAGGGTGAGGCAGAGCTGGAGGCTCTTGTGTATGGCAGCCCTAGAGATGCTCTGCAAGCCCCAGGTCACTGGTCCAGAACGTGGCTGTGCCAACACTCAGCGACCTCTGTTGGATGAGCTAAACCTCTGTGAGCAACAGAGCCAGTGATCCTTGTTGCCCCAAAGTGTGTGTTTTGTGGCCAGTGTCCTTGGCTCGTGTGGCTGTGTGCACGGGCTGGTGTCCCCAGCTCTCTCAGGTGCTCAGGCTGGTCAGACTGTGCTCTGGGCTGATGCCCTTCCCTGCTGGGTGAGGGGCTGTGCAGGGACCCCTCTCTGAATTGGTGCTTTGTCTCCTGAACCTGGAGGTTTGTCTTTGATAGAGACCACTGTTCAGAGACACTGATCCTGCTGTCAGAACTGGTTGGAATAGGCTGGTGCAGACAGTTTCCATGTGCACAGCCCTACCCTTACACAGGGCACAGGAATCCAGGAGCAAAGCAGGAGAGAGCAAAGTCCTCCCAAATGAGAATCCTGAAAAATTCCACCTTCCAGCCAGCACATTGTGGTGTTCTCTGGAGGGACCATGTGTGTGTATGTGTGTGTGGCCAAGGTTTCTTGGGCTGGCTTTCCTCCTTCCTGGCTTTTCCTGCCAGAGATCCGTGGGTGTCCTCAGCAGAAGGCAGAAGTGAGGAGTGGATGTGAGGAGTCATGGAATGGGTGGGCAGCTGGCTGAGGGATGGGGCTCACCTGCAGCCTTGGTAAGATGTGGGGTTACACCCAATACCAAAAAAAATTGAGAAGTCAGGGCCTCACTCTTAAGGCCAAAACAACTGCAGCTCCACTGTTGCTCTTTTAAAAGCTACCTGGGGGGAGGGGATGGGTTTTGAAGGACGCTGAGCAGCCTGATTCTGGTTTGTCTGGGTGAGCAGAGCTTTATCATATGTCACTGGGACATGTGTAGGCCAAAAGCTTTTTAAACAACAGCTTAGATAAACAAACAAGCAAACAAATAAATAAAGCTTTTGTTCAATATCTAGGGCAATCAGCAGAACAAATCATAGAATATCCTGAGCACAAGGATCCTGTTCCAACTCCTGACCCTGCACAGCCACCCCAGCAATCCCACTCCATGCCTGAGAGCATTGTCCAAATGCTTCTGGAGCTCTCACTGTCCTGGGGAGCCTGTTCAATGCCCGACCACCTTCTGGGGTTAAAAACCTTTCCTAACATCCAAGAAAAAGTGTGAGTTTGGTTTGCCAATTTCTGTGCTAATTTGCAGGTTTGCACCCTGGTAGGCTGGATAAAGATGTGGCTGGGTAAAACCCTGAGCAGCCTGGTGTGATCCCAACCTGTTGGGAACAGAAGGTTGAATAACAGACTTCCCAAGGTTCCTGAATTATCCTGTGAAAATATGGGTCACTCCAGGGCTTGTAGGAGACCCCCTGAAGGGACCTCTGGGGCAATGGTACCTGTCTGGGCTCTGGCTCCAGGAGCTGAGGCTACCAGAATTGTCTGAGCTGTGGGCATCCCCTCCATGACATCTTTTCTGCTCCCAGGGACCAGGGTTATCCAAAGTGCCTTTCTCCTGCTCTGTCAGGGGTGCTTGGGCAGGTAACAGCTGTGGCTGAGTCCCTTTTCCTCATTTAGCACTCCTGACCTGAGATACTTCACAGCAGGTTAGGCTCCAGGGGGTTTCATATTGGGATTTTAAAAACTGTGAGCTCCAAACAACATCTCCAATCCTGATTCTCAGTCCTCCAGGTGAGGATGGAGCTCTGCAGCCCAGTGTCATGCCCACACCTGTGGGGCCATGGTCCAGGGGCTGAGGGGACCAGGGTCCAGGGGCTGAGTTAAAAGTTTAACAGTGTGTGCTGTGGTTGGTGTAAGCAGTGTTGTGGTAAATTGTTGTCTGGCACCATGGAAGCCCCTGACAAGAGCTGGGAGAACCCTGGGAGCTGCTGAGTTTCAGCTGTGGCAGGAGTGTGCTTACAAGTTCACACCAACAGTGTTGTTGCTGCCCATGTGTGGCCTTGGAATGGTTTTGGGCTTGGAATAGAATTTGTGCTCCATGTGTGCTCAAAGGGTGGGAGTTGGGACAAGGAGTTAGGGAAAGGTTTCCACCAGCAAGATAGAAGTTGCTCCAGCCAAAGCACTCACACTGCTGCTGAGGCACAGTCTTTGGTAGAATGATGGCATTGTTGAGGTTGTAGAGGACATGTAAGATCACCGAGTCCAACAGCAGGGCAGGGATGGGCTCCTCTGCCTCTTGAAGGGCTCCCAACGTTCTGAGCTGGGCTGTCCCAACGCTGGGACATGCCCTTGGCTGCAGTGAGGCCTTTCCCAGGAGGCTGCTGAAGCCTCCTCGGAAGTCTGGAGGTTAATGTCAGTTGTTCAGCTTTTCCAGTTTAAAGACCAGCACCACAATCTGTAATCCAAATTCATTCTGTTCACCCTGAACTCACAGGAGAACCAGAATCCACAGCATCAGCCTAGCCCCAAAAAGATTTGGAGAGTGATCCACAATCACACAATATCTCAAACTGGAAGGGACACATAAGGACCATCAAGTCCAACTCCCTGTTCCTGGAACCCAAAATTAAACCATAATGTTGACTACTGCTTGGCATTTCCTGTGCAAATATTTGCTTTTGTGTTCACACCAGAGACTGTGAGAAACCTGGGTGGAGCATCATGAACCTGAGCACTGGATCTAGTTATTTCTCTTCCTTTCTAGGCATTTTCCAGGCCCAAGTTTTGTTTGATTTTAAAAAAAGGCAAAAATTCCCACAAAATGAGGAGCTATCCTTGAAATATTTGACCCAATGATGAATTAAGGATTGACTGGATTTAAGTGCCAAAAAAAGCAGATAGATTCCTATGGGGTATTAGGAAGCACTGAAACAGGTTGGCTACTAAATTTATTTTGGCTTTCACTTGGAGTCTGGTGTCCAGATTAGTTTCTCAGTTCCTTCCGTTATCCTGACACTTAACAGTGCTTTTCTGCACCTGGAGAGCCTGAAAGGTCTGTGCTGTTTACCAATTGACATCAACTGTGTTGATATTTCTGGTCACAAACCTGACAGAACTGGGAGAGCTGGATCTTCTCCTCAATGTGATCACACCATCCCACTCTGTGCCCTCTGATTATAACACCTTTATCTGAATGCCTCTGGTTTTAAAATTTCAGACTTTGTCCTTTGTAGCCCGAGTCTTAGCTGACCCTGCTTCACCAAAGTGAGTACCCTGTTTTCCACATGGATGTCTTCCCTTCCAAATTCAAACTGCATCAGAAGGGGCCAAGACATGACGGTGGTCCTCTTTGTAGCCCTGCCTTCATCCTGGCAGCAGGTGCTTTGGAGAGGATGCTGCTGCAATGTGGAGCCCCTGGGCCCATGGGTGGGGGGCTGGTGACAGCCAGTGAGGGCCAGTTGTGCCCTCGAGGCCCTGGCACTTTGCTTCTTCCTTGAGATTCATGGCTAGACAGGCTGAGCATCACCAGTGCCATGAGAAACTCAGGTGGGGTTCAGGGGGCAGTGACCCCCCAGTAACTCCTGTCACTGGTGAAATTCTCTCTCTTGCAGCCAGTTAGAAGATCAAGGGTGACCCTCCAACAAGAGAACTGGAAGGGGACCTTCAGGGAGCTCTGCCTGCTCCAGGGTGGGATTTGGCAGCTCTCAGTCACAGTCTGTCAGAGCACTGTAGGCCCCCGTGGGAGCCAGGAGCAGCTTGTGGTGGACCTGTTGTGCTTGTACCATCTTATGGTGGTGCCAGGTGAGAAAAAACTCTCAGCATTTGCAGGCTCTGAGCTGGGACCTCACAACAGGGGCTTTCATGGGTCACGTTGATGTCAGCTGTGACCTTCATGTGGGTTTAATGGACCCTTAGTACATCCTGTAGGGGTTTCTTCTGGGAAAGACCATCCTGTGCAGTCACTGTCTCGCTCCATGGTTGTGTTCATACTGGTACCCAACTTGGTTTCTTCCCTGCTGCCCTACAGGGCCTCGCTGTGTGTCCAGGCAAGGTGATGGACAGCAGGGGGGAGATGGAGGTGGTGAGGAGCACCAAGGGCAGTGCTGCTGGGGAGGTCAGTGTCCACGTGGTCACCACCGAGAGCACTGTGCAGAGCACCCACCTGCCCACCACTGCCTTCATCATACCAGGTATGTGGAGCAGCCCCCTGCATCTGCTGCCTCCCCAGCCTCCATAGCCCACACTCCTTGTGTGTCTGTGCTCCTCCCAAACCTTGGGAGGAAAAGACAAGCTGCTGTTGCCGTCTTGGAGGTTCTCTGTGGATATCCCACATCACTTGGATAAATCAAATGGTCAATCAAATCTTCCTGAGCTTTAAACTGAAGCCTGGAGAGGGACCCTGAGCCAGGGCAGCACAGTGTGCTGGATGCCTGCTCTGCAGGGCTGTGGGCTCCTGGGCTGCTGCATTAGCCTGGAATTCCAGAATAGGTCAAGCTGGAGGGGATCCATGAGGATCATTGAGTCCAAAACCCTGCTCCTGGCACCACCATGTCAAATGAAACCACAGGGACTGAGTGCTGTCCAGACACTCCCTGACCTTGGTGCTGTGACCCCTTCCCTGGGAAGCCTCTTCCAGGCACCGAGCAGCCTCTGGGTGAGGAACCTTTTCCTAACCTGAACTGCCCCTGAGGCAGCTTTGTCCCATCTCCTGGGGTCCCATTGCTGCTCCCAGAAGGGGAGATCAGCACCTGCCCCCCGGGAGGAAGGTGCAGACAGCAATGGGGTCACCCCTCAGCCTTCTCTCCTCCCTGCTGAATGGGCCAAGTGGCCTCAGCTGCTCCTGCCACGTCCTGGCCTTGGGGCCCTTCAGCATCCTGGTCCCCTCCTCTGGATACAGCTCCAGCCCTCAGATGTCCTGTGTGTGCTGAGGGGCCCAAACTGTGCCCAGGACTGGAGGTGAGGCTGCTCCAGAGCAGAGCAGGACAGTCACATCCCTGATGTCCCCCAAGACAGGACTGGCCCTTGGGGCTTCCAAGGCACTGCTGGCTCGTGTTCCACTTGCCCTCAGCCCAAAGCCCTTGAGCCCCTTCCCCAGGACAGCTCTCCAGTCTTGTTCCCCAAGTCATACAATTTTTCAGGATTATCCCAGGTGCAGAATCCAAGTCTTACTCTTGTTTCATTCACATGGTGATTGGATTGCCAGCTCTCTGGTCTATCCAGATCTCTGTGTAGCGTCTCTCTACCTTCAAGGGTGTCCACAGCTCCTCCTAATTTATTGTCATTGATAAACTTACCTAATTGATATTCAATTCCTACATCCAGATCATTTATAGAAAATTTAGGAGCACTGGCCCTAAAACCTGGGCAACCCCACTGGTGATGGCCACCAGCTTGATGTGCACCCAGTTCCTGTAAGGCTTTGAGACCAACTGTAGGATCCCCATCATCCATTTGTTCACCTGATGGACAATGGACTGGATGAGCTCTGTACTGGACACTTTGTCCAGAAGGATGCTGTGAGAGACAGTATCAAGGCTTTGCTAAAATCCTAAAACCCCACATCTATTGGCTTTGCTTGGTCAGCTTAGTGGTGTGACCTTTCCATAAAGGGAAATTGAGTTGGTTAACCAGGACTGCCCCTGTGTTGGCTGTGACCAACAATTGCATTGTCTCTCCAGTGTTCTCTGGGAACTCCCAGAGTAATCTCCATAATTTTACCAAGCACTGTAGTGAGACTTACAGGCCTGTAATTATCAGGGTCGTCCTTCTTACCCTTCTTGAAAATTGGGACAATTTTGAGTGCAGCTGACCAGTGCTTTTAGGAGATGTTTGAGCAAAGCATGGCTGTGTGTTAGGTGAGGTCAGGGGTGTTCTCTAGATCTCCCAGTTTTTCCTGATGCCTCAGTTCTCACTACAGGGAGGCCCTAGGTTGCACAGTGTGTTCCTTTGGAACATAACTAAACTGGAAGTTGCAGTCCAGGAGCAAATTCCTGTCACATCAGGACACCCTGGGCACAGAAACAGTCTGAGATCAGGCTGAAGTAGAAACCCTTGAATGTGGTTAGTGTTGGTGCCACCCCCCCAGCATGAGCCATTACTGGCTGCAGATTTTTTGCATTGCCCTGCTTGCTTTGTACTTTGGCCCACAGCAGAGCCCTCATCTGGGAGACTGTCCTCTGGGATTTTGAGCTGCCTTTGAGCCTTATTTGCATCAGTGAATTGTTCTGTGTTTGCCTCTGGTTGTTTGTCTCCTTTCTTCCCTTCTCAGCAAACGCCACTGCCATCAACCTGCCCACGAGCACCTTAGAAATCCAGCGATTCCCCCGGGAGCCCCAGAGAAGCACAGGGGCTGAGAGGCCAGAGAGGGGAGCAGGGAATGAGCCCATCACAGCTGCTGTCATTCCCCAGATCAGTGGGGTGCAGACCTGCAGCACAGTCCGTGTGCTGGAGTGGAAAGATGGGGTGGCAACTTTGCCTGGGAGTAACCTGCGGGTAAGTGTGGCCCTGGGCCACTGGGTTTGACCCCTCTGCCTCTCCCCACAGCTGCTTGTGCTTGTAAATCCGCCAGCCTGTGCCAGGCAGGGAGCACCAGGGTGTGCTGTGGCCCCCCTGCACCCCAGCTGGAGGATCCTTCAGTTGCTCCAGCTCTTCTGCTCCATCCCTGTTGTCTTGCCATCCAGGGAGCTTAGTACAGAGCTCACAGGGGTGTCTGCGGGGTGCAGCAGCTCTGCCCTGCACAAGGAGGCACAGTGGTGCTACAGATGTGCTGTGCAGGACATCTTTCCTTCCAAACTGTGCTGTGGACTTGGCTCTGCCTAAGCTCCTGCCCTCAGCCTGGGAGCAGCGGCCTTGTGCTCATCTGGGCACCTCAGGGGCACCCTCAGTGCATGACAGCTTGTAGAAAATGCACCCATTTCTCATCTGCTGCTCAGCCTCAGGACACCTCATCCTCCAGCCCCCCACCTGGCAGCTCCAGCTGGTGCTGGTGAGTCCAGCACAGGCTGCAGGCAGAGCACCTTCACGGGGCCTAGGGTGCTGTGCTCATCTCTGTCCTCAGAAGAGTTGTCCTCTGTCAGACACACTGATGACCAAACCATGTCCCTCATTTTCAGACCCAGTTGTAACCACACAGTTAAATGTCTGTCCTCCTTAACTCCTTTCACCCTGCTTCTTGTTCAATGACACAGTTCCGGATAAATGAGTATGGGACGCTGAAGGTGGTGAGTGCTGATAAGATGCCTCCTGTGGAAGCTGTGAAGGAGGGTCACACAGAGAAAGATGGGGACTCTGAGGTGTCACCCCCCAGCAGAGACAATCCTACTGTGGCTCAGGGTAAGGGCACCGTGGTGGCACTTGTGGGGTGGGTAGCACCATGCAGCAGATGCTGTCTGGTGTCTCTGTGGGCGAGGCAAATGCCTCCTTGTGCCTCACTGCTCTCCTCTGTGTCCCAGAGGTGCCAGAGCAGCCCACGCTGCCGGCGGCAGAAGGCCTGTGCCACTGCGATACCTGCGGCCGCCGACACGTGTGGGACGGGGCCCGGGAGGGCAGGGGCTTCTGCAGCGAGCACTGCCACCAGCAGTTCAAAGAGAGGTAAAGGAAGGGGGGTCTGTGCCCTGCAGAGCCAGTTCCATCCCTCTGCCCTTCCTCCCTGCCCTGATCCACATGCTCCAGCATAGGATGTGAGCACATCTGCCTCTGGCAGGTGCTGGGGGTCCCACACGTTCCTCTTGTTCCTGGAGGCAGGCTGAGAGAAGGAAAACTTCCCAAGGGAACAGCAAGAAGCACAGGAACCAGATTTTCTCCTGTCCAATTAGTGGCCTTGGAAACGTATCTGCTGGAGCAGGAGGCTGCAGCAGTGCAAGCCACAGAGGAATGCCACAGGTCACAGGGGCAGTTCCAGCCCTACTTCTGACCAGTGTATGACTTTCAGGACTTATTTTCCAGCATCTCTGATGCAGATTAGAGCCCTGCTTCTAAACTAGATCCCTTTTGATTCATCCCTGGGTTCAGGTTTCTGACATCCAAGTGTGTGAGGGTGACTGGCCTGTCCTTGGCTCTTACTCTTGGCAGCCTGTGTGTGTACATCCATCAGGAGGGGTGGGGGCATGTGTAAGAAATGGGGGGATGGTGATTGTCCAGCAGCCCCTCCCTTACTGACACCCCTGGCAGTGTCACCGTGCTGCACTGGCTTCAGTGCTTGGCCCTCCCTCCCTGTGTGCAGGTCTGTCATCGTGGAAAACTCTGCCAGCAGCACCAGTGCCACTGAAATCCTCAAGCCTGTGAAGAAACGAAAGAGGAAGGACTATCAGAGCCCTTCAGAGGAAGAATATGAATCTGAGCAAATGGTAGGACAGGCAGTGAGGGGTGTGTGCAGCCAGTGTCCTGGGGGCTGGGGGCCAGCCCTGTGTGCACAGATCTCATCGTGCTGCTCAGGGCTCTGTCAGCTGCAGGTCAAAAGGGAAATGGCTTGGCCAAAATGCCAAAAAGATTTGAATGTGTGGAGATGAGGCTGGGATGGTGGCACTGGGCTGGTTGTTTGGCACATGGAGCACTGAGGCCTGGGCAGTGGCAGGCTGTCTCTTGAGGTCAGTCTCTCTTGAGTCTGGGCCACCAAAGTAGGGGTTGAAGCAGGGGGGTGTCTGTCTGTTTGCTGGGTGTCTTGGGGAAGGAGAGGCTTTGACAAGGCAAGGAAACTCTGCTTGCCAGCCCTGACTGTAGCAGGTCCAGTCCAGGTGTGATTGCTACCAGTCAGCACCGATGTCCCTGCAAGCTCCCATCATCAGATTCTCTGTCAGCCCATTTCTGGGCCAGGCACTGGTCAAACCATAGACCTGGTGGAGGTGCACTGTGGCCCTGGGCACCAGTGTGAGGGTACGACACAGCCCAAAACCTTTGTGGACCTGAGTTCTGTTTTGTCTGCTCTCATGTCTAGGAGGAAAAGCAGGAAGAGAGGAAAAGCTCTGTGGAAGACTCTGCCATGAGCAATCTGGAGGCTGAGGCGTGGAACGGGAGCCAGCACGGTGAGAAGGGTGGGGTGGGCGGTGGGGTGAGCACTCCTGGTGGGGCTGGGGGATCCCAGTACAGGTTTGGACACTTTTGGTGCTCCTGCAGGGTCAAACACCCACTGCCATGTGCTAGCCTGTGGTCCTGAAGGCTTGTAAGCTCCTCTGCTTGCTTGATCCTGCTCTCTCTGTCTCTTTCCGTTTCTCTCCTTTCCTCTCTTTCTCTCCATGGGAAAGGGGCTCCCCTATGGACACAGCACTGGCCCATGCTGGACAGAGCTTCCTGCCCCTCCCCTTGGGAGCTCAGTTTCTTACTGGCTCGTGGACACTGTGTTTGGTCCCAGGGACACTGTCCTGAGCCAGAACAGGACTGCCCTCCCTTGGGATGGGCTCATGGGGAACTTCCTTCGTGGCATCAGGAGCTCACAAGTTTGGGAGCTGCTCGTGTAGATGTGGTGCCAATGAAACCATGTGATTTGGGGTTGTCTCATCCTGTGGGGTCTGTTTGGGACTGTGTCAGAGATCTCAGAAGCAGGGCTGTTGACATGGAGGGAAAGGAGACAAGCTGAGGGATGCAGTGTTTGCTTGGTTGGTTTTTTTCTCTGCATTGTCAAGGAAAACTTTGGGAAACACTGAAAATAAACATTTATGGGAAACCTTTTGTCTTTGAGTACTGAAGGTCATACTCAAAATAATTTTAAAATTAAACTGTTCCAACTTCATACTGCTCTCCATAGCCAAGTGCAGGGATAGTGTCAGGGGCCAGGTGTCATTAACCCCTGATGTTACACTGAGTTAACCACCCTTAAAAAGGAATCTCAGATCTTATATCGGCTTCTCACTCTGAGCCCTGAGCATGTAACCTTCCCTGCTGCATACAAGTAAGCAGTGATGAGCTTTGTTAACTTCAGCATTTTATTTTCTCTTAATTTAGAAGTACTTCAGCAAACAAAATACACACCTGGATGCCTCAGTGCAACATTCAGTGTATGCTCTGACTCTTGGTGTATTTGTCATTCCCTAGGAGTGCAGAGCTTGTACTCACAGATTCCCCAGCCATGCCTGGCACTTTTTCTATGTCCTAATGAATAGTAAAAGTGTTTTTCACTCTGAAGTGTCAGCAAAGCAAGGTTAGTCACCTTGCTCACTGAAGTTCAGCTTTAATTTCTTCCCTAAGTTTCTGGTTTTTCCCCACCTCCTCTTCCCCTAAGAAGGAGGAAGGAGTTTGTCTGGTTTTCCCCTGCATTTGTGGCCTGCCTTACCCAAGGCTGTCTGCCATGGCTGACTTGTAGCTGGGAATTCCTCAGCACCAGAACAGGCATAAGCACCCCTGGAGTCCCTTCAGCTCCCTAATGGGAGAGCAAGAGACTTGGATTGTGTGTCATGGTTCTTGGGCAAGGCCTTTGTGGCCTTCTCAAAGGCATGAAGAGTCACCTCCCTGCCTGTGAAAAGTCAATGCTGTCTTTGTCATATGGGCAGATACATCATAGGGCACCAGAGTGGCCTTGCTGTGCCATGGGGGCTCAGGTGGCTCAGAGCAGAGAATGGCAGAGCTGGGATGTGAACCTGCTGCTGGTTTGACTCTCTAGGAGCCCCTTGCAGCTGGCAATGATTCCCAGACCTTTGCATGGATCCTGCTGGCTGCCCCAAATCCATCCTGTGTGGACATAGCAGATATTGTGGCTGGAGGAGGGTCTGGTTGCACAGGTGTCCTGATGGTTCATCCCTCACACTCCCTGGAATCCCAAACTTGTTGGAAAGGACCTTAAAGCCCATCTGGTTCCACCCCCTGTCATGGGCAGGGACACCTTCCACTAGCCCAGGTGCCTTACTAGGACATGGTTCAGGACATTTGGGTCACGGGGGCTCCTGGCTCTGCCTCTCGTTGTGCAACTGGCCAGGTTTTCTGGAAAAGGGGCTCTGGTAGGATGCTGCTGAGCTTTGCAGGGATGCAGGACCCTGTGTGAGAGCGGGATGGCCCCGAGGCAGCGGGGCAGGGCTGGAGTGGCCCCTCAGCAGCGTTTGTGTGCGTTTGTGCTGCGCTCAGGTGCCAGTGAGGAGAAGAAAGAAGGCTGGTCTTGGGCGTCCTACTTGGAGGAGCAGAAAGCTGTTGCTGCCCCTTTAGATCTCTTCCAGGATGTGAGTTGGGATTTTCCTGTCTTTTTCCCTCTTTCATCTTCTCTTTTCTTTCCCTTTTTTTTCCCATCCCTCCTTCTCCTCCTCTCTTCCTTGCTTCCCTGTTTTGCGGGACTCTAAGCAATAGCCAAGCTCCCGTTGTCAGCTGGAAGGGAGTGGGCAGCCTCCAGTTTTGATTTGCCCAGAGTCCCACTCCCCAGCAGGGTGCTGGCCCCCATCCCAAACACCCCACCTTTGCCTAGGACACTGCTCTGACTCTGGCAGGGTGGTGGAGCCTTTCCAGCCCTTCTTGGAAGCCAGGTGGGCTCTCCTGAGGCTGTGCAAACAAGTCAGGCCTGTGCCCCTCTCCCTTGGCTGCAGCTTTTACCCCAGGGACACCTTGCCCTGCCAATAGCAAGAGATGTAAATCCATAAGGAGGTGAAACACTGTTTTTTTTCTATGGGAAAAAAATTAAAATTTGGATGACAACATAACCTGTGGCCCACAGTCTCTTGGTCCCAGCAGCTCCCATTGCCTGGTGATTGCTTCCCTGGTGGGCTCCAGACCCAACTCCTTGTGTTGGTTTTACATTGTAGTTTAATTTTTGTTTCCAGTACCAAGTAGCTTCCCAGCACAAGAATGGCTTTAAAGTGGGGATGAAGCTGGAGGGGATTGACCCGCAGCACCCATCTATGTACTTCATCCTGACAGTGGCTGAGGTAAGGAGCCTCCAGTGCCCGTATTCCTTGGCTCCTCCTGGCTTCCATTCACCCAGAGGCTCTGGGGCAGGGGAGGTGCTGCCAGCTGGCCCCTGGAGGAGACAGGGCCTGTTGCTGCAGGAGATGAGCTGCTGCTCCAGCACCACAGGCAAACAAGCAGGGAGTTCCCTGCCAGCTTGGAGGTTCAGGACACTGCACTGTGCAGCTGTGTTGGTCTCTCTGTCAACCTGACACAGCATGGAGGGGGGGATTGTGGTGATGGCAACAGCTTATGTCCCTGAGACAGGTGTGAGCCCTTGAGATGGAGGGTGTGGAGGCATCCCACTGCCCTTCCTTGTGTGGACCATACAGGTCTACTTGGCACTCAGCCATGTGGCAGCCAAGCTAGCCTTGCCTCACAGAGCTCCCCAGGCAGCCAGTGTGGCATTTAGCCAAAATCCCTGCACCAGCAGCTTCCTGGGCTGCAGAAAAGGGAGTCTTTGCACTTTCTGGATCCAGCAAGGTGATCCACCATGACATTTAATGCACCAGCCTGAACATCCCTTCTTTGGGCTGGCTTGTGGTGGCTTCGCACTGACCTTGTTCCATGCTGGACACCCTTTGGAACTGGTTTGTGCCTCCCAGTTTGGGCACTGGCCTGTGATTGGCTTTTAGCTTCCCCAAGTGACCCATGCTGAGCTGGTGTGTGGGAGAGGAGAGGGTGTGATGCTCAGCCAGGGACAGCAGCAGGTCTCCATGGCCCTTTTCTTCTCCTGCCTCCCTGCTGGCAGGTGTGTGGTTACCGGATGCGTCTCCACTTCGATGGCTACTCAGAGTGCCACGACTTCTGGCTGAACGCTGACTCCCCTGACATCCACCCTGCTGGCTGGTTTGAGGAGACAGGGCACAAACTCCAGCCCCCCAAAGGTAAGGAGTTAATTCATCTCAGGTGCTGGGGTCCTGCTGAAGGAGGGGGATGAAGAGTGGGCCAAATGTAGAGCTTGAGGTGGGGACAGGGTGGCTCCATGGGGCCAGGGAGGGATGCTGCCATACTGGGGGAGTTCCACAGGACAACATTTCAGGCACCCATCTCTGCTTGCTCAAATTCTGAGGCAAAGCACTGTTGCTCTGGACCTCCCAGTGCCACCATCTGTGCCCCAGGGCATGCAGGACAGGAGGAGCAGCTGTGCTCTGGATTTCCTCTCCCCTGCTCATGTTTCCTAACACCCCTTCGAAACCACCCATCAGCCCTCAATCATGGGCTTTGGGCATCCCAGGGCTGCTGTAGATCCTGTGTGCCCATAGCAGGATATGCTGGCAGGGTGACAGTGGGTCATGGATGGCCAGGCTCAGCCTCACATCCTCCTAGCTGTGAACTCACTGCTCTCATTTCTCTTCCTGAGGGGTTGTAGGTTATAAGGAAGAAGAATTCAGCTGGACAAACTACTTGAAGTTAACAAAGGCTCAGGCAGCTCCTAAGCACCTCTTCATGGTCCGAAACACTGTGAGTAGCAGCATCTCCTTCCTGCCAGAGCCTACAGGTTCAGCTGTGACTCTTCCCCTCCAGCTGAGCAAAATGCTTCCACTAGCTCTGGGCTTTGCTTTGTCCATCCCACACTCCTCAAGCCCACAGTGCTCAAGAGCCAGGAACGTGTGGCACACTTTGCTGCTCAGGATCTGTAGCTTGGGCACTCATTTGATCTGCCCAGAACTGGTGCTGCTCTGATTCTGTTTCATCCAGGTTGATCTCATGTACAATTTAATCTGTTACAGAAGTACTGGTGAGGAGAAGTAACTACTACTCTCAACAATTATTTGGCTAAAAATGTATCACTTTATGTTTCATAAGTATAATTCCTTTGTCTCTGTTTTGTGTCTTTGTTGTTTCTGTGTCTGCCTATTTTTTTTACATGGAAGCTTGGGTAAGGAAAGTGGGAATATAGGAGAATGAAAATGCTGATCGTTCCTTTGTCAGCTGCAGAGGAAACTCACCCTACTGGCGAATCAGCCTCTCCAAGTTATTTATTGTGTCTAAACCCTGCTATTCATTGCTGCAACATCCCCACCAGTGTGTGTGTTTTGCACAGAATCTGGATCCAAGAAATAAAGGCAGGAAGGGAAAAGGGCCCCATACCAGATTCTCCTGCCATGCCTGAGGCTTTGGTTGCTGCTGACTGTGACCACAAACAACTGTTTTGGGACAAAATCAGAACTAGCATCAGTTGGAGGTTTTTTTCTCTCTTGGAATTTACTGCTTATAGAAGATCCTGAGGGTCTGAAGATCACTTTTCCTCTTTCTTTGTGTGGCCCAGCTGAGTTTCTTACCCCCTTCCTCTTTCCTTGCACAGCAGCACACTGCCCATGTGGGAGCCTGAGTGGTCCCAGGCCTGTCTGGAGGCCAGAGAGGGTCTGGTTTGCAGAGGGTTTGGGCAGGTGTCTCCTTGCAGCAGACATAGGAAGTGGTGAGGAAGGAGCTGGGGCTGCAGCTGTGAAAAAGCCCTGCCCCTCTCTCCTGCCAGCACGAGGCTTCCCCAGGCTTCAAGGTGGGCATGAAGCTTGAAGCCGTGGACCGCATGAACCCTTCCCTGATCTGTGTTGCCACAGTGACTGACGTGGTGGACAATCGCTTTCTGGTGCACTTTGACAACTGGGATGATACTTATGACTACTGGTAAGTGCACAGAGGCTCTTGGGGGGACAATGGTGGGGAGACATGCACAGAGGGCCCTGTGTAAGAGCTTGGGTATGTTTTCTAGGTGTGATCCCAGCAGTCCATACATTCACCCCGTTGGATGGTGTCATGAGCACGGCAAACCCCTCACACCTCCTCAGGGTGAGTCAGTGATCAGTCAGGGGCAGCCTGGGAGGAACCGGCTTCCCAGGGTGGTGTGGGGGACACAAACCTCATGTCAGGGCTCCTGTACACATGTTCAGGTGCAGCATAGTGCTTGTGTTGGGCCAAGCCTCCACTCAGAGATAGGAGGAGGACCCCAGCTGTCTGTGTACACACAGTTGTTTCTCCTTCCTTGTACTGTGGGTTTCGTGGTCCATGAGAAAATAGCAGCACTTCTTGGGTGTCTCTCAGGTTCCCATGCACCTGGCAGAGACTTGGTTAGCCCTCAAAGGCAGTGGGGCATCCTGGGGTACTTTCTGATTTCCTGCAGACATGGCTCACCTTCTGCATCTTCCTCCTTCCAGATTACCCTGATCCCGACAACTTCACCTGGGAAAAGTACTTGAAAGAAACTGGAGCATCTGCTGTCCCAGCTTGGGCCTTTAAAGTGGTGAGTGTCACATCATCTGCTCCAGCCCACCTGCGCAGGAATTTGGGTTTTCTTCCTTGTCAGGTCTCTGCTTTTGTGACAAGTCCAGAGATGCTCTGTTTTCTCCTGCCACAGGCCTAGGCTTTGGATCTACATTCAGGGTTCAGGGCTATGCTGGGCAAATAGTTCAAAACTGGGAAAAATGAGGAGTATGACTGGACCCTCAGCTAAACAGGAGCTGAGTGATGGGAAATAATTTAAGTTTGTTTGATTAGTTTTTGTCTCAAACTGCACCACCAGCAGCTGTGTCCAGCCAAGCATGGTTGCAATATAGATCCCCAAAATGTGTCTCTTAGAGACCTTCTTCCCTGGGGTACATCTTGTTAAAGACAGCTCAAATGCGGGGAGCCTGTTCCTGCTTTCTCCTGTTGCCACTGCGAGCTGGGATGGCTCTTCCCTGGCCAGGGCAGGGGTGGTAGCTGGCTCAAGGAGGACACAGTGCTGGGAAAGCTGCTGAGGGGACAAGAGCCTGAAACAGGGCTCTGCTCCCCCTGACTGGGCTCTTCCAGCGCCCGCCCCACGGCTTCCTGGTCAACATGAAGCTGGAGGCAGTGGACAGGAGGACTCCTTCCTTCATCCGAGTGGCCAGTGTGGAGGATGTGGAAGATCACAGGATAAAGGTGAGTGCTAGAGCATCAGTGCTGAGCCTGTGTCCAGGCACTGTGCTGGCTCACTCCTGCCCTTCCCAGCTCACTGGGAGTGCTGTGTGGAAGCACAGTGTGCACAGGTGGGTCCCAGTGCCTGGCTCCAGGAGTGGAGAGCCTTGTTCTCTCAGCAGAACTGCACTTCTACCCTGCTGCTTGCTCTCAACTCGGAGGGCTCCAGAGCTCCTCAGAGAGGTGTGCTGGCATTTGAAGGGTGACCTCTCTACTTGCTTCCCCAGGTCCATTTTGATGGTTGGAGCCACGTGTATGATTTCTGGATTGATGCCGATCATCCAGACATCCATCCTATGGGCTGGTGCTCGAAAACAGGACATCCACTGCAGCCTCCTCTCAGTAAGTGCTGCAGCTGTGTCAGTCCCTCCCCACAGGGCACGAGCACGCCAGATACCACTGTCACTGCACCTGCCCGTGCACAGAAATGGGAGGACAGGTTCTGGCTGAGAATGGGCAGGGAGGAGAGGCCACTCCGTGGATTTGTCAGTTGGAAAAGCCCTCCCTGTTTGGTGCAGGCAGGGAGCCCAGAGCCCAGGCTCTGCCTGGGCTTGCAGCCGTGACAACCTTTCTCCTGTTCCTCTCCCCCGGCTGCAGGGCCAAAGGAACCGGCCTCCTCTGCCCATGGGGGCTGCCCAAGCCTGGGCTGCAAGAGCATCCCTCACTCCAAGAGCTCCAAGTACAGCTTTCACCACAGGTGAGCTCCCTGGCATGGCCTGGGGAGGCACAGCTTCTTCCCTGCCAGGCCAGCTCTTCCTCTGCTCCTCCTCACCTGCCACCCCCACCTGCAGCATCCAGCCCTTCTCTGCACTGACCCCACACCTGGCCCTGCCCCCTGCTCCCCCAGGGCAGCACCCCCCAGCTGGAGTAACCCCTGTGAGCCCCTCCTGTGCCTGTCCTGTGGCCCCAGAGCCCCTGAAGATGTCCCATGTGTCCACCTAGCACGGGCACCTGTGGATTGTGGAGAGGACAGTGAGTGTGCTGACTCAGCTGGGAGGATGCTGTTCCCCCCACCCCTCTTTGATGCCTTTCCCTGTTCGGCTTTGAGCTGGGAAGTTCTAAGAAGGAGCAGTGCATGGTTCCAGCTCAGGCAGTCGCTCGAGGGACCTTTTCCAGGGGAAACCAGGCTGGGTCTAGTGCTAACCCCAGCACTAAGCTGGTGTCAGGAGGAGCCTGTATGGTGGAGTATCCATGAGGATGGGGAGGGTAGGTCTGCTTCCCGAAGGTTTTTCTGCTGGCCGTGCTCCTGGCACAAGTTTACTGCTCGCTCTGAGGCTGGTCTGGATGCCTGTGGGGGCAAACGAAGATGGGGACTCTGGGAGCCCCAAAGAGCTGCTCGATCAGCACGCTGGTGCCTTGCCCAGGGATGGCAGAGGGCCAGGGTTTGTACCTGGAGGGACTGGCTGTGCCCTGCCCCTGCCCCCAACAGCCTGGCCTCAGCAATTTGCTCGGAACATCTTTCCTCTGCTTTCCATGGCCAGAGCAATGGCTGCCTGTGCTCGAGGGCAGAAGGGTGGCCCTGCTGGCTCATCCCCTGGTGCTGCTCCAAGCTGGGCCCAACGCTTGTGTCCCCTCTGTTCTCCAGGAAGTGCCCCACGCCGGGCTGCGATGGGTCAGGCCACGTGACGGGGAGGTTCACAGCCCATTACTGCCTCTCAGGGTGCCCGCTGGCAGAGAAGAACCAGGGCAGGCTGAAGGCCGACCTGTCTGACACCGAGGCCTCAACTCGCAAGAGGAGCCCCATGGGTTTCCCTCAGCGAAAGAAATCTCGGCACCACGGGAGGTAGGGGCACGGGAGGGAGGGCCCCTGGGCCACACTGCCACCCTGGCAGGGGTCACCAGGCCGCAGAGGCTCCTTGGCCTCAGTCCTGCCAGCTCTGCTGGGCACCTCTCGCTTTTTCTTCCCATGGTTTCTGGCTTTGACTGCCAAGCCTTTGGGTCAGGGTCCAAGGGGTCCCTCTTCTCACTGTCTCTGGGTGCTGGGGAGGAGGGCCCTGGGGCCAGTCCCAGCCCAGCCAGACATCAGGCTTCCTGTCTCTTTAGAGGGAGACCTCCAAAGTACCGGAAGATCCAGCAGGAAGACTACCAGAGTAAGTGCCATCCTCTGCCATGGTGTCATTACAGGGCAAGGCTGGAGGAGCTGGGGTGGGTGGGG